GCCTAGTTGCAACGCTGACGCCGAGACCTCTGGTCGGTTGAGTTGCTCCCAGCACATCAGCACGTCGTCCCTACATCCCCTATGTTTTGTCCTTTTCCTCGTTTCTTTTTGTTCTCCACCTGTTTTCCAGTAGGGCTGTGTCAATAGTAAAAACAAAAAAAATCAGGGAACCCCCAGCCAGACAACCGCGCCGTCCTCAAAGTTGCTCATGTAAACATCTGCAGTCTACGAAATAAAGTTCATGAAATCCATCATATCCTGCATGCCAATAAAATTCACATTATGTCAATTAATGAAACCTGGCTGGACAGCTCAGTATCAGATTCCCTGCTGAACATCCCTGGATATCGGATATATCGGAACGACAGGAACTTGAGGGGCGGAGGTGTGTGCTTGTACATCATGTCCAGTCTCCTCGCTTGTCTCATTTTGCCCGCATCCAACACACATCTGGAGTCGTTGTTTGTGTCAGTTCGCATTGCACGGGAGCCAGATGCGTGTAAGCTCCTCGTGAGTTCAATCTACCGCCCACCGAGCTCTGGTACAGAATTCTGGGAGCAGTACAGTGCCCAGTTGGATGGGATTTTCGTGGACAGATCTGACCTGCTAGTTCTGGGAGATTTGAACACGGACATCTTACAACCGACTCTACATCATAATCATCATCTACTAAGCTTTGTGCAGAACATCAGCTGCAGAAAATTGTCCACGCACCAACTAGAGCGCCGTCAAACACGTGCCTTGACCTGGCTCTGTTGAACACTACCTTCCATTGCCCAATCCAACGATCATTCCCATGTCAGATCTTACTGATCACCACCTAGTCCGCCTTGATTTTGTAATACCGGAATGGAAGCCCCCAGCAACCCAGAGAACTAAGGCTGTGAGAAAACCAGGAATAGCTACTATCAACTACTCTCAGTTTAATACTCAATGAATGATATGCTCCAGGAATCATCCTCATTTTCAACATTGGACAGTCAAACTTGCCATCTTCTAACGTCTATCGCTGCTGTAACTGATACGCATGCTCCATCTAAACAAGTTAGACTACCCCTCTGTCCCAAACCTAAGCCTCAACCGTGGGCAACACCAGAGTTACGGAAACTGCTGACGTCTGTTGGAAATTCCCTAGTAAACGAAGAATATAGAAAGGAAAAAGACATTATGGATACGAGTTAAGAGTAACTCTCCATCACTGTAACATGATACTTTATACAGTCAGAAAGTGCAATAACTAGGCACAAAACTGACAGAGTACTGAGACATTCGACGTCCTGACACCTAGCTTCAACACATCTCCGTAGCGCTAACCGACAGCCTTCCAACTTGGAAGGTTCAAGGTTATGGAAAAGACCAAAGAGGGGAAGGCAAGCGCAACGAAAACGAGCAAAAGCTACAGTCCCACGGACTGTGTTGAAGATGTGTTGAAGCTAGGTGTCAGGACGTCGAATGTCTCAGTACTCTGTCAGTTTTGTGCCTAGTTTTTGCACTTTCTGACTGTATAAAGTATCATGTTACAGTGATGGAGAGTTACTCTTAACTCGTATCCATATTGTCTTTTTCCTTTCTACATTTATTTATGGCTCAACATCCGAGTTTCAAAAGAAGAATAAATAATAATAATAATAATATACATTTCTTCTGGGCTGAACGTGAACTGGTTTCTCTCTCGCCTTGCAAAACGAGATGAAGTCAAGGTCATTTGAATGTTCGGTTTGTACGGTGTTTGCAGCAGCGCGGCTTCGAATCTCCTCACACATGTTCCTGACGATGACCCTGAGTACGTTGTGACGAGAGGTCTTGCAACATCACCGATGTCCACTCCAACCACTTGCCTTGCACCTGAAGAGTCTTCAGCCTCAAAATCTGCTCCTGCGTGATGATCTCCTCAAATGTTTGAAGGAGATCCTTCCTGGAGGGTGTGGAATGCTGCTTCGGAGGATGAGCACCCAACCATGCACGATGATTTGACGATGACGGTGGACGGAGAGTCCCTGAACCTACTGATGCCTCTGCACACTCCAGCTCTATTGTCGCCTGATACTGCTTTGTCAGCTTTGCATCCGTACTGCGACGCAGAGTGTACAGCGCCCTCATGCGCGCGTCCCCACTCGATTGAAGAATGTGCCATTTGATGGACTGGCACTTTTTCCACACTGTAGGAAGATAGTGGAGGCGTAAGACGAAGCGTTTGCGACTGCCAATACAAATAATGGCAGAGTTCGCGCATTGAGGTAGGACTGACCATTTCCTCAGAAATGGTAAACACATAAAGTGCAGTTCACGTACAAAACCTTGTATGAGTTCAAGAACCTGGAAAGACCAAGAAAGCTTGGGCTCTACAAGATGGTGGTAAAGCCATACCTCGTGGTGGTCTTGAAGCCAAGAGCCATCTACTTTTTGCATGAGAGATACAGTGAGTTGACGGATGTCTTCTCGTTGGGTCTGCTCAGAGCAATCAGCATGCAGCCTTCGCCCCAGGAACTTGAATTCTTCGGTGTCAATGAAAGCATCATCAGGCAGGGATCGTAAGGTATATCGGCCATCTACAAGCTTTGCTGCACTGCTTTTGCATTTGTGCGGCGCCGCCTGCATACATTGGGTCCACGAGAGAAAGTCCTCAGTGACCGCAATGCGTTTTTGACAACCTGCACAAGATTTGCTATAGAGGCCTAAGTCATCAGCAAAAGCTGTTTGGGACACTTGCAAAGGGACAGATTTAAAATCATAGGAGAGGCAACTTAATTCAGGGGCTGCAAGTGAGTCCAGCAGAAGCTGGAAACAAATATTGAAAAGGACCGGGGACAAGGGGCACCCCTGGAAGGAGGGTTCGCGTAACACTAGTACATAGAGGGGAGTACGAGAACAAAGGTGTGGCAGAAGTCTAAGCAAGAAAGCAATCAATGCCAGAGATGTTGTTCTGCACCAAAAACAGAGAGATAGAGAGAGAGAGAGAGAGAGAGAGAGAGAGAGGGAGAAAGAGAGAGAGAGAGAGAGTTACACCTGGCGGTCAGTTCCTGCTGTGTTGGGCGACTTCAGGTTGGTGCAATGTCTCACAGTTGGGGATTCACAGTGACCTTGTAGTCATCGTAGAGACGAACTGAGCCATCAGACTTTGGAACAGCCACTACTGGGGTTACTCCCTCGCTGTGTTTTACAGGCTCTATATTGTGCTGCTGCTCTATCTTCCTGAGCTGCTCCTCAACCAAGGGCTTGACTGCGTAGGTAGATGCACCTGCTTGCAGCTCACCCACGTGACCGTCAAACAAGGTCGTTTGGTCAGCCACTATCCGCTCCAAATCGTGTCCATCCGTAGGTACGTGAACCTCAAACACGGATGACCAGTCGAGTCGGACGTGTTGCAACCAGTCCCTTCTGAGCAGAGTAGCACACTCGCCTTCAACAATGAGCAGTGGCAATGGCATTGTACGGCCATTATAGCACACATCCACTGTGACTTGACCCAACGCATTGATTGCATCACCTGTGTAAGAGCGCAGCTTGACATCAGCAGGTTCAAGTTGTTTATCACTGGGGTACGGTCCCATGTCTCACATGATATAACCCTCACGACAGCAACGGTATTGAGCACCATTATCGTTTCCACCCCATCAAACATCATATTCACAGTTGGCTTGCGACGCAACTCTACGGAGTACACATCACCAATTTCATGCTCCTCGCATACAAAATTGGTTTGACGTTTTTCGTACGACACACCTTCTTGAGGTTCCCGCGCTTGTTGCAGTAGTGGCACTCGGAAGCCTTGAAGCGACACTGTGAATGAGCATGGTCCTTATTGCCACAGGGATAACAAGGCTCAGCCCTGTGGGTAATGCCGGATCCTGACTTGCCTCGCTGTCTAGGTACAGGTGGCTGTCTCTTGTGCCAAACGGCATGGACATGGCTGGACTTGGAGGTACATCTACCCTCGGCCATCATGTGCACAGCCTCGCAATCGACCACCTCCTGAGCTGCAGCCGTTTTCAGAGCCATCTCCAAAGTGAGGGCATCGATGGTCAGCATTTTTTTTACAAACGACAGTGTCTCGTATGCCACAGACGAACCTGTCGAGGATGGCATCTTCCAGACCATTGCCGAAGTCATAGGTCTTTGCCATACGTCGTAGCTCAGCGACATATTCATGATAACTCTCACTTGCCTGCTGGCTGCGGCTACAAATTTTGGATGTGATCAGTGTCACTAGCAACCTGAAAACACTTTCTTCCACAACTGTCAAGAACACAGATTTCTTCCGCCCGTCCTCAATTTTATTCGTTTTGTAGAATTGATCCAGCCTGGCCAGATCTGACTCCCAGTCATCAACATCCGCCGATGTGAAGGGGCCCAGGTTTCCGAGCAGCGCCATGATCCGACCTTCGTTGCCACTCGTTCTGTGGGGTTCAGCAAAGCACAATAACAGGGTTGGAGAAAACTACCATTACAAGTACATCGCGAAGAACAGTCCGAAAGCAAGCAAGGCGCGGGAAAAGAACACCGCTCAACTAGAAGTTATGCAGATTCGGAGACCGCGCATGCGGACTAGTGTACGCACAATAATGATGTCATGCAATTACACATCTACTACAGGAACGAGTTATGAAGTAACTATCCACGACTGTAACAAGATTATAAGCAGTCAGAACGTGTGATAACAGGGCACAAAACTGACAGGCTACTGAGACATTCAGCGACCAAAGAGTTGCTTCATAACTCGTTCCCATGTGTTTTCTTCTCCTTTTTACATTTAATACTGGCTCATTATCCGAGTTCAAGTAGTCACCCTGGCTCATATTAATTTATAGTAGTATTGTTTTATGCCGATTGCATTTAGATACTTGTTCTGGTAATTTGTTGCATGCTGCGCATCATGCTTCATATGCGAGTTCAGCAAGGGACCATTTTAAAGGGTGAAATGGTTGAAATGGTTTTTAATACTTTGGAAAATTGATATGCCATTTGAATATTGAATTTGGACTACTGTTCTTTCTCTACAGGGGTGTTCGGGATGTTCCACTTTCACTAGATTCATCTTTGTGTGCAATAAAGGAGGTACAAAGTCAATTAATGGTTTTTCAAGTCAAAGCGCCGGTTTTGTTTTACTTGATTACAAGTAGGTATCCTCGTTTTCTTTGTCCCGTAGTATAGGTTACAACAACAGTTTAAAACTGCTGAACGTTTTCGCTCCCTTCTCAAAAGTGCACTACAGGAAATGATGGACTAATTTGAAAACGACAAATACAAGGGCAACGAGTTCATTAATTAAAGATTAAATGTACACACACACAAGAGAATGAAAGGGGTGGAAATAGGTGACTATTACTGTGTACAGATCAGGCTTTTACTATCATCACTCGTGGCAGATCTAAAAATTTAATGCATCTTTCTGTTTTGGAGGCATATTCGTGAACTGTCCACAAAGTTGTGAGCAAAATAGACAATGTGCTGTCTTTGCTTTGCAGTTTTTTTCGAGTTAGTCTTTATGTATGTTTGACTAATACCACGTGACATTACCTCCTACTTATTTTTACCCGGTGCCGTTTTAGGCACCTACTTCCACCCCTTTCATTCTCGCTTCATGAAGTGCTAGGTTGAACTCGTTGCTATGTACTCGTTGCTTTTGTATTTGTAGTCTTGGAATTTTTTGATCAACCCTGCTTTGCACTGCTTTAATAGAAGGGAATGAAGATGTTTGGCAATTTTAAACTATTCAGATTGTCCTTTTGCTTGGCTCAGCTGTGTTGGTGCATACATGAATTGACTGTGATAAACTTTACACGCCTTTAACTTAGTCCAAAATTATTTAAAGGGCAAGTGCATAGATTTGTCAAGTAGGGTTCAGATTAAAGACAATTTGATGTCAATTCGAATATCATATCTGTCGCTTCCATATGTAAGCCCAACTTGCCACAGCATTGAAGCACTTCTTTCACATTGTGGATACAATAAAAATGACCAAATTCTGCAGTGATCGACTTTCTCCCCGGTGGAGCGAAGCCGGTCGTACGTCATCACTGCGCTGGTCGCTATTGCAACTGGCGATATGGCAAGTTTGACTTATCCTAAGGAAGCGAGAGATTTGCCATTCGAACCGATCACAAAATTTAATTGTCTTTCTTCTGGACCTTCCTTGAAAAATTGAAGCAATTGTTGTTTAAGATATATGCTATATGAAGAAGAGGTTGGTGCGACTTCGGCGATGCTTGGGGAATTGTGTGTTGCTCCTTGCATGGGAGCTCGAGCTTTTCCTGCCGACTTGAATTCTCACTTGACTGGCACGAGAAGTCCATTGAACAATTCACTCGGCAAACCTGCAAGAAAGCACCACTCCCTGCTCGATACACAGTGTTTCAGGGAATTCACCACTCATCAGTTGACATTGTGTAGGCTGAGGAAGATTGAGCCTGAAGAGCACCACTTATATAGTGCTCTCCATGCTCAAACATCACCAGGGATACAAACGTGCAGAGACAATCCGTTTCCAGGGCGACAAACACTTCGTGAACACCAGATAGCTGCGTGAGTCGCTCATGGAGGTGCTGAATTGTTCAGTACGTTCTCATGTGCTCTGGATGGCAGTCGTGAGTCAGTCAATTGAGAATTATAACGGAAATCAAAGTGGGGTAAGGTGCGGATGCAAGTTTTTAAGCTCCGCTTTCTTTAGGTCCCTGTGGCAGAGAACTTGATCTGGACACACTAGGAATATGGCAATGAATATGGACATCGACCTCGCCTTGCTGACTTTCGAAGAGCTGCGGCATCTTGCCAAAGAACATCCTATTGACGGAGCCGAGTCAAAGAGCCGAGTTGATCTTGTGGTTTCCCTAAGACTAGCTGGTGTGGGTGTAACCCCGATCAAGGCCGTTGAGGTCAGTACTAGTAGTAGTCTGAAGTCTCTAAACGAGCTTGTATGTGTAGTGATAGAGCTAAGAGAGCAACTGGAGCAAGCGAAGCATGATAATGCCATTGTTTCTTCACTTCGGGATGAGGTTTCCAGCCTAAAATTGGAAGTACTAGAGCTGAGGAACTTCACAACAGGCGCACTTTCTCAAACTGCCAATGATACCCACAACCATCGCACAAGTGCTAACGAAGTTACCGTAGAGCCCTCCCTGTATGAAACTGACACATCCATCACCACTGCACCGCGATCACAGCACACCTCCACATCGCAGCATGCACGCTCAAGTTCAAATGATCGTACTACCGGTATGCACTCACAACCACGTGCCGCTTCCCAGTCCAGAGACACTGCTCACACAGCGCCTAGACCTGCTGGCAACGGTCACGTCTCTACGGACAGCAGTTCCCGCAACAAATTAGATGGATAGAGCTCTTGAGTAGATGTTGTACGATGTCGGGTCACATCTCGGTACGTCAAGCCTATGCCCACGGTCGAAACAAACCCTGTAGTCCTGACAGGTGTCGAAAAGGTGGACAAAGCGATATTCTATGTAGGAAACGTCCAAATGGGCTGCAGTGCCGACTCCATCAAGGCTTGGTGTCAAGAGCGTGCAGTGGTTGTGGTGAACGGCACCATCATGTAATCCTGCACCTTCGGAACAGCTTACGCCAGAGTGATATTCCCAGCCTCAGCTACGGAAAAGGTCTTGGGTGACGGATTCTGGCCTGCAACTATCCAGCACACCGTAAGAAAGTGGCGGTTTGCAGATTCAAATGCGAACAAACCAGGTAAAACCCCCATGTCGTCAGAATGATGGCTTCTGCACAGCTGAGCGCCCAGGCCTTCCCATATTTTCCTAAGACTCAACATAATATCAATATTGTTACGATTAGTTGTCGCTCCGTGTCGAACAAAATCCCTGAACTCTATGCATTGTGTCGATCCAACACACCGACTATCCTATGTCTGACAGAAACCTGGCTCTGCCCGATACATATGCTCAGTGTACCCGGCTATACGTGCTCCCGTCGAGATAGGCCAATACCAGCCAACCAAAGGGCCCAGTTCCGAGGTTATGGTGGTGTTGCCATCCTTGTACGAGATGGGACATTTTTGCATGCAGCCCAGCGCTCAGACCTTGACTCTCCCCAATGCGAAAACATATGGGTTGAGCTTGGACTTCCTGCAAACCTGGGTGCTAATCCTATACTCATTGGCTGTCAGTATCGCCCTCCTTTGCAATCCCTACCTGAACTTACCTCATTTTGTGACATGATGACGGATACCCTACGGGCTGTAGACCTCTCATCCGTTGATATATTCCTCACTGGTGACTACAATGCTCACAACTCCGACTGGTGGAGTGGTGACGCTACATCACGCGCTGGAAAGGAACTTTCGCATATATTCTCCAGCTTCGGTCTCTCCCAGCTGGTAGATGTTCCCACTCACACCTCTCTTAACGGAACCCTGTCGTGCCTAGACTTGCTCGCTACCAATCGTCCTCAATCAGTATTCTGTGTCGACGATGCTGCCCCGCTTGGTGCGTCCGACCATTCACAGGTAGTTACCACCCTTTTCTACAGAACTGTAACCCGAACGCCTGCAAAGGAAGTACCATGCTATCCTGCCCGTAGTTCCCCAGCCACTCCATACAATTTTGCGCAAGTGCCACCTTTTGTCTGGGTAGCAGTAAATATGTACCTTTCCTCGCTCAACTGGTATGATCTCATGGACACACCAGATGTCGACGACGCATTAGCCAGATTCTCCTCTTCCTTGAATGATGCATTTTCTCACTACCTGTCGCCTTATCGGAAAATCTCTTCCTCCACCCAGCGAGCTGTATCTAGGAAATATCCTCCGTGGGTTAATCGAGATTTAGTACTTGCCATTAAGTTGAAGTACAAACTCTACAGCCGATATAGGAAGTTCCCAACCCCAGCTAACCAGTCTGCCTTCAAAGTTCAGCGTAACAGAGTACGAAACTTATCTCGATCTCTTCACTGTGACTATTTGGCATCTATACAGGCCAGCATGGCGTCAGGTAACCTTAACATGTACCAGTTTGTTCGTTCTCAGCGGAATCGTCAGCAGGCTAGTGGCCTTCTTCACCTCATTGATGAAGACGGTCATCCAGTTTCTGGCGGTTTCGATCAGGCTACAGTCCTCAACCAGCAGTTCGCCTCCGTTGCTGTGCTTGATGATCCGTCGCTATCACTTCCAGCTCTTAGTGCCCACAGCCAACTTCATGAAACATTTGTTCATGTCATCACCACAACTGCGGATGTTAGAAAGGCTATCGCCCGACTAAAGTCTCGCCGCAGTCCTGGCTTGGACACCATTACGAAGGATGTCCTGAAGAAACTTGCCCCGTCGATATCGTACCCCCTCTGCCGTATTTTTAATGTGTCCTTTTCGACGGGTAAATTTCCAGCAGCATGGAAACTCGCGAAGGTTGTTCCGGTTTACAAGAGCAAAGGCTCCAAGTCACAAGCCAGCAATTACCGTCCTATCTCCTTGTTGTCCTGTGTATCGAAACTATGTGAGCGATTATTCTTTGATAAGCTTTATGCTCATGTGTTGCCGGCCCTTGCCCCAGTCCAATCTGGTTTTCGATGAGGAGACTCAACCACCATGCAGCTGACACGCCTTGTGCAGGACATTGTGGCCCTTCGTCATGACCACCAACATGTTCGTATGTGTTTTTTCGACCTAGCAAAGGCGTTTGACACGGTATGGTTCCGTGGACTCCTAGCTTAATTATCTGCGATGTGCAATGTTTCCGGAGCGTCTCTGGCATGGATTACGGACTACCTAACAGATAGAACGCAATCAGTGTCAGTCGAAGGGGTACTCTCAGACCCACTGCCTGTGAAGTCGGGAGTCCCCCAGGGATCTATACTGGGGCCTCTACTATTCTTGTTGTATATAAACGATCTACCTGACTGTATAGATGGTTTGTCACTATTTGCTGATGACACAGCCCTCATTCAGTTTGACGCTGACATTGCAAACCTGTGTACGAAGCTTCAGAATGGAATCACTGTTGTTCATAAATGGATGTTGTCATGGTGTCTGAAACCCTATATCTTGAAAACAGAAATAGTCTTTCTCCCTCAACTAGACCACCCTCCCACATTCACCCTTCCCGGACTTGATTTGGCTAATGCTACCTATCTTTCTGTATGGCGCCACTGCTTGGCATT